TGTCTTATAGAATGCAGAGGTGTAAGGTTCGCAGTTTTGGAGGACAGGAAGTGTAAGATGAGCCACTGACAGGCTTGGTGCCTGGTGGGCCTGCTCTGAGCTTCCACAATGGTGCTTCAACACTTCCCCCTCTGCTCTGCCACAGAGCGCAAAGCAAGCCACTCCCACACACCCTTTACAGTAGCGCTGTGGAGCCTGGTCCACCCCGGTGCACTCAGTGGGGACTGAGCTCCTCGCGTTTTTTAGTTTGGGAGGAGGCACACACATTTGAACCACAGCACAGCCTGAAACACAATGACCCTGCAGTGGTTTGATGGAGGTGTCCATCCATCCCCGGGAGGGGCAGCTGGACCCACAGCCTGACGGGCCCCAGAGCCTGTGGCACAGCTGTCAGCCCTGGCCCTCCTAGTGAGCCACTGGCAGAGCCCCACCCCAGCCCGGGCTCCAGGGCAGAGGTGAGGAGACACTGGCCGGGAAAGTCCATTTTACCCGAGTTTTGCCTCACTTTTTCTTTTCTTTCTGAGTTTCTTCTCCCTGTCAGTCACCCTGGAGTCGACTCCAGGAAGGGCAAAACCAACGGATAAGCATGCTGCAGTGGCTGGGGTCAGGGAAGGGGCGTGCTGCTGGCCCAGGCCACACTGGTGTGGGACCAGGTGGTGCTCTCTGGGGACCCTGTCCTCCTGGAGCCTGGAAAGGGCCGGGTGTCCTGGGGCTGTGCCCATGGGACACTTGGATCCAGGTTCTCGAGGCCATTGTACGTCGGGTTCTAGAGTTCTACATCCTGAAAACTGGCTGGTGCAGCCTTGCTGGAAGCAGCTCCCCACGCCAGGCTGTCGGGCGGGGCTGGTGCCCCCGGCAGGCTTCTCTGAGGCTCCACGGGGATTCAGGTCTCCTGACCACCCTGCTTGTCGGCTTTGCTTTTAACAGACAGGAAGCTAGGTAACGAGTGTGGAAACGTTCCTCTATCCTCTCTGGGGGCAAGGAGTCAATCGCTCTGCCCTACGCTGACTTGTTTCTGCTGGGCTGCAACGTTACTATTCTGAAATCTCAGCCCTTCACAGATGAATGGCAGATTCTGTCTTCTCCCTGTCTTAGTCATGTTCCAAGCTGAAGGGTTGTAATTTGGGCAGAGTCCAGCTCATCTTTTTTGTTCTTCTTTGCCAAGGATCCTGGTCACACATCCTCTGCTAAAGGTAAAGTCATGAGAATTTCCCCGGTGTTTTGTGGGTTCTCTTCGAGGCTTTTTGAGCACTTTGATTTTAACTTGGTGCATGGTGTGAGGGGAGGGGTCAAGCTCAGCCATCCCAAACCTCGGTGAGGAGACCGCCCCTTCTTTCAAATTAAACCGTCCTGGCCACCTCCTCGGTGTCACCTGACCACAGACACTGGGTTTTAGGCCTGTCTTCATGTCAGCACCACACTGCTTTGATTGCTATCGCGTTGTAGTGAGTTTCCAAACAGGGAAATGAGAATCCTCCCATTTGTTTTCCTTCTAGAAAATGTTGTGGCTGTTCAGAGAATAGTCGCTGGCTGCCCAGGCTGCCTTCCCTGGGATTAGGTGAGGCGCGAAGGCTGGAGGCCTGAGGACACAGCCGCCAGCATGCCCTGCACCTCCCTGCTCCCCAGCAAGGACGGGAGGCCAGGGCCAGACCCACCGGCCACCTCTGGGGACCTCCACCTCCTGGCCTGCCCTCTCCCCAGCAGAGGAGGCATGGCTGTGTCCCTCACCCACAACCCACCTCAGGCTGACATACGCTGTGGGCTGGCCTCTGCCCCTCCCCCTCCTGAGCGGGCCAGCTCCTCCTCCCGCTCCCCGCTCCCCCCAGACCCAGAAGCCAGGTGGAGAGTCCCAGGCCGGCCCCTCTCGTGGGCCTCAGCTCCACCTGCCCCTGGCTCCCTGTCCTAGGAGTGGGGCTCCTGGTTCTGGCCCCACACGCCCTCCCACAGAGCCGCCATGCCCAGGGAGACAGACACCACAGTGCCCTTCCAGAAGACAGGCGGGCTGGGAGGCTGCAAATCTTCACTCCACTCACCTGTTGGTCCCTCCTTAGGGGTAGTCCCTGCCACGGGCCTAGGTCCAGTCCCCAGCTCGGCACCTCACGCCCAACGCTGGGGGGGGGGGGGGTGTGGCTGCTTCCTCCCCCTGGCCAGAAGTGAGGCAGGCCTGTCAGAGGTCCAAGGGTGTGTCCAATGGCCTCACCCTGGAAACTGACCTACTTGGGGGACAGAGAAAGCCAAGTCCAGTCCTGCTGATGACTTTGTCCATGATGGGACTGGGAAGGGGTCCCCAGGGCCTCCAGAGATGGGTGAGCCTGGACATGAAGCCCTTTAGCACCCAACCTCTGAGCTGCAAGCAGCACCAGGCCTTGCCTGCCCTGGGGCCATCCTGGGAGGAAGCTGGACACCCAGTGGGCCACAGCAAGGTCTTTGGCTGGATGGAACTGTCCTGGGGGGGGGGGCGCAGGCCAGGGTCCCAGGCTGCGTCCCCTCATGGCCGGCTCTGCTCTGTGACACAGGCAGAGTCCTGAAGGTTTCTGATTGAAGCTGGTTTTAGAAGCATCAACCAGGCTGTGCAGATGGCAAAAAGAAAAGGCCAGAGCCAGCAGCAGTCCAGACCTGGGGTGGGGGGGGGAAGGGGGAGAAAGAGGGCGGAACAGGCCAAAGCCTCACCAACACACAGGTCAGGCAGGACAACTGAGAAAGCTGGGAGCTGCTAGGGTCCAGGAACTCTGACGGCTGCACCGGTCTCTGTGGCTAGGAGCTCCGGCCCAGGCTTCCCCTTCCCTGTGGTGACCAGGCTGATTAAGGTGGTGGATCAGGAAAACAGCCCCAGAGAGCGGGAGCCCAGCGCAGCATGGAGCCGAGCGTCGGGGCCATCCCTGCAGCTGGAGCACTCAGACTAGAGATGGCCACCAGCTCTTGGAAGTGCAGGGTGGAACCTGTCTGGGGGACCCAGCTGGGCGTGGAGTGGGGCTCCCCCAGGGGCCTGGAAAAGGAGAGCTGCCCAGACTTCCGGCTGATCAAAGGCCGCCCTTCCAGCCTTGAAGTGGGATGCCTGTGGCGGGGCTTCAGGTAGGACCACCCTTGAGAAGGATGAGCCCGTGCCCTCCGGCCCTGCAAACTCCGGCTGTGCCCTCCGCCTCTCCCAGCAGACGGTCCCCAAGTCTGGAAAGCAAGGTCCCCCTGGGGGGGGGGGGGAAGACCTGGAGGCCAGCTTCTCTGGCCTGGGGACGGAGCCAGGACCAGGGCCTTCCTGAGATGAGCTCCAGCAGACAGCAGCACCCACGACCCACAGTCCCACAGGAGTGACCCCAATGACATCCGGGCGGAGCCCTTCATGATTAACGGCAGGAATGTGACTTCCCAAGGGTCAGGAGGGAAGCAGCTGGGCAAAAGGCAGTGCGACCCCAAGGCTCACACGGCGGGCAAGAGCTCCAAGGGTGGAGGTCTCGGTTCACTGTCACCAGGTCCCCCCTCCCAGACGTGAGGGAGGGCACCGACTCCAGAACTTGGAGTCACTGGGCCACGGCATAAAGTCCAACGGAAAAGGAAACCCATGGCTTGGGCTGGGAAGGAGTGCCCGGTGCCAGACTCAGAAGTGAAAGGGCCCCCGCCCCTCACCCCCCCCCAGACTCAGAAGTGAAGCCCCTCACCCCCACACACACAGACTCAGAAGTGAAAGGCCCCCCCTTCCCCCCCCCCCCCGCCCCCCGCCCCTCACCCCTCCACACACAGACTCAGAAGTGAAAGGCCCCCCCTTCCCCCCCCTCACCCCCCCCCCACACGCAGCCATCCCCGAGGGCCAGCCCGGAGGGGTGAAGTCTGAAGTCTGGACCTGTGAGGTACAGATGCCGTGACTGCTGGTGTGAGTCCTACACCAGGCCCAAACACAGCTGCAAGCAGCTGAGGCCCAGAACAGCCTGGATGCGAACCACCGGGGAAGCATGCAACGGGGGCGACACCAGCCCAGGCTCGACCAGATCCGCAGCCAGGTCCCGGAGCACCTGAGTGCGGCTGGAGCACACAGGCTGCGGGTGGCAGCCCGGTGGGCGCTGGCGGCCCTGCCGCAGGCGGCCGGCCTGGCGCGCGCACAGGGGTCCCGGGAGTCACGGGTGGGGGCCGGGCGACGGGCCGGGGCTCCTGCGCGGTTCTCCGTCAGGGGCGGCGCTGCACAGCCGGCCAGGTCGTGGTCTCGGCGGCCTCGGCCGGGGACGCGGAGCTCGGAGCTGGGGGAGAAGGGCCCGGCCAGCCCGCGGACCCCGCGGCCCCCCGCGGCCGCGCGCCTGCCCTCGCCCGGGCCTGCGTCCGCCCCGCAGCCGCCCCGCAGCCGCCGCGCCACACCCGCCCCGACAGCGGCCGGGGGCCCGGGGGCAGCGGCGCGCGGCCGTCCCCACGCAGGACGGGGCCCGTCCGCGGGCGCCCCGGGAGCCTGGGCCACGCACGGCGCGGCGGGTGCGCAGCCGGCCCCGCGGGGCTGGACTTCGGCGGGGCCGGGAAGCCCCCGAGTGGCGCGCGGCGGGCGTGACGTCACGTCCGGCGGGGAAAGCCCTGCCTCGGCCTCCCGCCCTCCGCCTGGCCGCCCCCCACCCCGCCTGGCCGCCGGCCCGCGGGGTCCCCGGACGCGGGCCCCGCGCCCGAGCCGCGCCCCGAGCCCGTGCGGTCGGAACACTGGCCCGGGCGGGGCGGGCTACCGGGCGTCGCCGCCGCAGAGCGAGCGCCCGGCGCGCCCCGCCCCGCCTCCCGCCCGGGCCCCGCCCCGCCGCGCCCCGCCCCGCGCCCCGCCCCGCGGCCGCTGGGGGCCGGGCCGGCGGCGGGGAGGGCCGAGCCGGGCTGCGCGCTCGCTGCCGCGCTTTGGGCGGCCCGACCGAGCGCCCGGACCTCGCGCGCCCCGCGCCGCGGCCGGCTTTGTTGTCTCGGGCTCGGGCCGCCGCGCGCCCGGGGAGCCGGGCGCGGCCCTTCGATCCGCGAGCGGCGCGCGGGCGGCCGGGGCGCCGCCGGCCCCGCCATGGAGCTCCGGGCCCGCGGCTGGTGGCTGCTGTGCGCCGCCGCCGCGCTCCTCGCCGGCGCGAGCGGGGAGCCCGCGGGCCGGAGCCGGAGCTGCGGCGAGGTCCGCCAGATCTACGGGGCCCGGGGCTTCAGCCTCAGCGACGTGCCGCAGGCGGAGATCTCGGGTGAGTACGCGCGGCCCCGCCGTCCCCCGCGCCCCGCGCGCCTCCCTCCCCGCCGGCCGGACCCCGCCGCCCGCGCCCCGGCGCCGGCCTCCGGCCCCGGCCGCGCTCCGCTCCCCGCCCCCCGCCCCCCGCCCGCGGGAGCCGCCGTCTGGGCCTCGGGGGCGCCGGTCCCTCGGGGCCGCGCTCGGATCCCCGGTCCCGGGCCCTGAGCGCGGAGCCGTGCGCCTCCCCGCGACCTGCGCCGCGGGGCCCGCCGACCCTACCCAAGCCTGGTGCCCGCCGCGCCCCTCGCCCGGGCGGCCCGGGGCGGCGGTCCCAGCCGCAGGTGGTCGGCGCCTCGGAGCCCGTCCGGGGCTGCGCGTCCCTTTGTAAGAGCCGCGGCCTCCCGGCGGCCGACCAGGCCCCGCGGCCGCCCCTCCCCTCCCGGCCTGCCGAGCCGTCCAGGCCCCGGGTCTCCCGGACCCCGAGTTTCACTGTCGGTCGCCCGCGCAGCCTGGCCGGGTCGTGCGGCCGTCTGGGGTGCAGCAGACGCAGGGCCGGGCTCGGAGGCCCTCCCCGCACTGGGGGCCGGCTCCCCGCACTGGGGGCCGGGCTCCCCGCACTGGGCCCGGGACCCTCCCCGCACCGGTGAGCCGCGTCCCAACCCAGCCGGAACCGCGGGGACCGCGCAGCTCCAGCACTGCCCCGAGTGGAGTGAGAGGAGCCCCGGGAGCCGCGGGCCCCGCAGACCCGGTCCCAACAGGGACCGCGCCCGCAGAGCTCAACCCCCGGGACAGCCCTTCTCGCCTGGCGCAGGCGGGAGGCCGCAGCCGGGCACAGGGCAGCCCCTGCCCGCCCGCACCCTGCTGCTCCTCCTGCCACACCGGTAGGGCCCCGGCGCCCTCCCCCGCCGGGCGGGGTCCTCCCAGCCCCGGTCTGGGCTGAAGGCTTCTGTGAAACTTTCACTCTGTGCGTGCCCCCTCGGCGGCTGGTGCCTCGCGGAGGACTTGCCAGGCTTAGACACTGGACACTGCGGTCGGGCCAAGGCAGGGGCAGCGTGGGGCACGCGGGGGCACACGCTGAGCGCAGTTCTTGCCGGGGTGAGGAACCGGAGCGGCCCGCGGTGGCAGTGATGGGGGTGCTGCTTGTCCAGCCGCCGGTCCTCGCGGGGTCTGCAAGGTGCCCTGCCTCTGTACCTACCGACTCAAGCCGAGCAGCCTCTCCCCTGGAGGCAGGCCGCCCGTAGCCACACAAGGCCGGGAGCTCGGCTCCACTGCCGTCCTGCTAGTGCTCCAGGGAGGGGGTGCAGCGCTACAGAGCCCTGGATTTTACCCCAATTCTCCCCACAATGAGACAGCCCAGGGCCCTGGGGATCATACAGGTACGGGTGGCTGGCCCAGGGAACTGTAGCCCCTGGGGCAGCAGCCAAAGCCAGCATCCCTTCTGGCCTCCGAGGACCGGGCGCCCTCTGGTGGCCCCTAGAGGCACCGTCCCTGGAGCCCCGGGTCCCTCCCGGTTCTGCAGGCCCCAAAGAGACCTCCAGAGAGGGCTTTCCTCTCCTCTCGGGGTGGAGGCGGACGCTTCCTTGTCGCCCCATGACGGTTGGGGACACCCAGCTTTCCCTCCTGTTGTCACGGGGGGCCTTTCCAGCCTTTGTCTGAGGGGTCAGAGGGGGCAGTGGGCCCCCACAGGCCATGTGGGGGGAAAGGGACTCCTCGTGAAGCCCTGCTGTTTTGGAGACGGCCTTGGCGTGGCAGTGATGATGGTTGTACTGTGTTGTGGCTGTGGAGCAGGTCCGGGGTGGGGGCCGCCTGCCCGCCCTCCCTCCCTCCTGGCAGGCACTTCACAGACAGCCAGGGCCGGGAGACGCCTGGGTCCACCTCTGCAGAAGGTTCTCCCTGGGCCGCCGGAGGTCCCAGGCCACCACCTGGCCTCAGGACACGCCAGGACGCGACGTGGCTGGTCATGTGTCTGACGGGTGGAAGATGGTGGTCATCAGGTTCTTCGCTGTCACCGCAGCCTGGCCTGGCCCCAAGGATCCGAGCGTGCTCATTTACGCTGGCCAGGCTGGGAGGCGGGGGGCAGAGGGACCGCATGGATCCCGGCCGCCCCAGGCTGAGGCAGAGGAAGTGACCCAGAGGTCAAAAGGGCTTGGAACCCCTCGGGAGAGAGGAGCCGGGGCTGGGCCTCCGCGGGGGCTTTGTGCCGTGGGATCAGCACTGAGGACGTGGGAGGCTCTGGGAAGGAACGTTTTTTCCTTGGTGTGGGTGCTGGCGGCCTGGTCGGCAGGCCCAGAGTCTGAGGAGGGTCCTGGGGCTGTGTCCTCGTCTCTCACCCTAGAAAGTACCATCTTGGCCGGCCCCGGGACCCGTCCATGTCAGCTGCTTCTCTGAGGCCAATGGGGCTTTCCAGCTGCCTGGCTCATGGCCCTACCCAGACCAGAAAGTTCCATGAGCCCCAGCCTGTGCAGGAGCAGAGGTCCCAGTGTGGTCAGTGTGGCTTCCCGAGGGGTCCCACCCTGGCCGGGCTGCGAGCAGCTCAGCTGCCGTCCTCCCCAGCATGGGGCCTCAGCGGGCAGGGCTGACCCAGCAGGGCCTGTGTGACGCAATGGCCTGGGGCTTAGAGCCCTGAGCCTTGGGGCTGGACTGGCCCTGCTCCTCCGCAGGCCTCTGCGCTGCCACCCGGTGCCGCTGTCTTCATGATGACAGAATCCAGCTGAAGGAGCACGAAGGTTGGCAGGAGGGTGTGAAATTCCTGTGCTATGTGCCCTTCCAAGCCCAGGCCCTCCACGAGAACCCCCACCAGCCCCCGTGAGGTGGCCCGCGCACGCACGTTGCTCAGTGGGGTACATCGAAGCCAGAGCCCCGCGTCGCTGCCTTAGGGCCCAATCTGGTGGACCCCAAAGCCTATACCATCCGCTGCTGCCCAGCAGTGCCAGCTCAGCGGCCCTCCCCCAGAAGCCTCATACCATCTCAACCTGGAGCTGACCCGCAATTCGCAGCCCAGGCCATCCTGGGCCACACAGCTGGCCAGGCCACCATCTCTTAGGATCTGGAGCTGCTTTTGCCAGCCGCTGTCCCCCGCGGGCCTCGTCCACTGCCGCCGCTCTCCGGGATCCCAGACGTACACCGTCGACGCACCCTGAAGAAGACCTGGCTGCACTGCTGACCGGCCTGTGGAGAAGCCTCTGGCGTATCCTCCATGGAGAGAGAGCAGCTGCCCCCATAGGGCATGTCCCAAAGGAGTAGCGGTCACCTGAATGCAGGCGGCCGAGGCTGGTGACTGTGCTGCCACACTGGGCTGGGCCCCAGGGCCTCCCTGGAGATGGACCGAGAGCACCCTGGCCCAGCAGCCGGGCCGTAGCAGGCCAGGCGTCAGATCCAGAGGCAGAATAAGCAAGCGGGCTGGGGCACAGTCAGGATGTGGGGCCGGGCGAGGCCCGCCCCTGAGCCCGCACGGGTGTCGAATCAGGCCTAGGTCCTGTATCTGCCGCGCCAGGTCAAGTGTGCCAGGCAGAGAGAGAGGCTGGACGGTCTCCCGGGGCCAGGCTGTCCCCTGTGGGTCTGCCTCTGAGTGAGTTCCGATCAGAAGTCATGACCCGCCAGGGGGGAGGCGGGCTGGCGTCCAGCTGGAAGGTCCTGCTGTGTGGTCATTGTCCTCTGGGTTGGGCGGACATGGGGCTGTGCTGTGGGAATGCGCAGTCTTCCCAGGCTGTCACAGGCCTGTGTGGCTGCAGGTCTTTGTGACACACACACACACACATACACACACACACACACACACACACTCCACTGGGACCCCAGTCCAGGCCTCCCCCGCCTCTGGGACTTGGGGTGTCCTGGTCCCTAAGTCCTCCCTTCCCCTCCTCTTCATCTCCAGCTTCCCGTTTAGGACGCCGCCTTGGTGGGGCCGGCGCTGCGCCCATCATGGCGGGTCTGCAGCACTGCACCCCTGCACCCAGGCAGGGCCCTGTTCTAAGTTCTGGGTGAGAACTGACTGCGTGAGCTGGAGGGCTGCAGCTCCGCTGGTGGTGTGCGCACCCTCCGGACCACGCCTCGTGCCCTCCGCCTGTCCTGCCGCCCTGGGCTCGGGGCTGGTGTGAAGCGTACCCTCCGCCTGTCCTGCCGCCCTGGGCTCGGGGCTGGTGTGAGGCGTGCCCTCCGCCTGTCCTGCCGCCCTGGGCTCGGGGCTGGTGTGAGGCATGCCCTCTGCCTCGCTGGCTCCGTGCCCATGGCCTGGTAACCATGCACCGAGTCGGGCCTCCCCCACCCCACAGCTTTCCGGAAGTCTGAGCCCCGGCCCCCTCGGGGTCCTGGGTTGGCCCCTCCCTCTGTGGGCCTCAGCTGTCTTCCAGGTTGGGGTGTCCTCTAGGGCCCCTTGCCAGCGTTTGGGCCTCATGATGCCCTGGCCAGAGCTGGCAGCCACGTGCTCCAGGATGCAGCACGTCACCTAGCCGTGACACACAGAGCAGCAGCTGAAGACCTCTGGCAGGCATCTTTAATTTTTTTTTATTTTTGTTTTGTCAGTTGTGGGGCCTGAACTCTGGGCCTGGGCGCTGTCCCTCAGCTCTTCAGCTCAAGGCTAGCGCTCTACTGCTTGAGCCACAGTGCCACTTCTGGTTTTCTAGTGGTTTATTGGAGATAAGAGTCTCACGAACTTCTCTGTCTGAGATCCTCAGATCTCAGCCTCCTGAGTAGCTGGGATGACAGGCGTGAGCCACCATTGCCCAGCAACGGGCGTTTTCTTGACCTATGGCTGCCAATGTCCATTGCCGGGACCCCAGGCCCCCATTTCTGGGGTGGGAGACTGCAGCCGGGGGGAGGGGGAGGGCTGGAGCCTCAGGCAGACTTGCAGAGGCAGTGGACGCTGGGGTGGGTGAGGCCGAGGTCCTGCGGTGTGGATGCACCACCTCTCCCGAGGCAGGGGCCAGCCACGGGGCCACTGCTCGCTTGCAGCAGCGCTCCCCGGATCTCTACTTGGCCGGGTGACAGGGAAGCCCCTGGAGGCTGCTGCTGGCTGTC